CCCAAAAAAAAAAAAAAAAAAAAAGGGCTGCCAAAGTCTGATTCCTGGACTCAGCAGAGGGTTGACAGAACAACTCAGGAACCGAATGCAAAACAACTTAGCAACACTTCGCAATGGGCTCAGAAGAGAGGGCATCCTGGAAGCAAGTGAATGCCCAGCCTCACCGCTCTTTTGAAAAGCAAAAATGAACATGACCCCACTGAGTACAGAAGTGGTACATACCCAAGTCTTAAAGGCGTGCCTCTTCCCATCTCACTTGGCTCCAAGAGGGATGAGGATTCTTCCAACAGGTCTGGATCCGCCATCTGCTGATGATGCAATTCAGCCTGAATTCACAAATCAATTAATATCTAATGAAAATAGTTAGTGGCATGCAGGGAACGAGGAACCAGGAGATAAGTTCAGAAAATAAAGATGAAAAAAAACCCAAAACACCAAAAGAGAAGACATACCTACAAAAAGAACAGGGGAAGAAAACAAAGGAAAGAAACAAGAGGTAAAGGAAGCAGAATTACCCCAGTAAAGCATCTGGGGAAATGGTTTTAGAAATAAGGAATAAAGGAAAAAACATTAAATGATGGTAACACCTGTATAAATCTGTTACTTGGTGGAAATCATTTTTTCTCTTATGTTTCCCTGAATGAGCCATGAAAGTACCAAGAAATACCTTTGCATATGGATAGAAGCTGAACTGTTTCTTCCTTTTGAGCAAAAACAAGGCAGTTCTGCAGAAACATTCAACACCAACTTTACAGGCAGCTACAAGCTAGAATTTTCTCTGGGTAAGAATGCAAAAGATGGAGACTCTCTTTCTAAGGAAGAAAGCACGGCGTTGTCACCGTCTTCAACAGGAGAAAGACAGAAGGGGCATCTCCAGATTTCTAAGTTTTCCATGCTCTTAAAAATTCAGAACATGAGAACTTTCAGCATGACCACTGTAAAAAATGCTCCAAACCATGGGATTTAAAGAGTATTTCTTTGTCCAAAAGGATAAGAAGCACAATAGCTGGGCAGGCATGAGCCTCCATTGCATCAATAAAGGGAAGGAAAAGTGAAAACGTATCTGAATGTCCTAGTTTCTGACCAGGAATCTAGGAATATTAAAAAGTTCACGTACGCTTTACAGTTTAAGGATTCTTGAGAACATAGCTTAAGCCAACAATCTAAATCAAGTGAAGTGAAGAAAAAGTAACAGATAATAAGCCAATATAGAGCATGTGGACTAGTTTGTTTAGATTTAAAATGATTTCCACCATGACAGTTTATACAATAAAATGAAGGAGGAGCAGGACCTTCTCCGATGTAGGTCTACATTTCCTAGTCTCTCTCTTCATAATACATCTTACCACCTTTCCTCTCATCAGGAAGGAGAAGCTACCCTAAAAACTGAAGGCCAACTGACTTCTCCACTGACTGACCTCCCCAACTTCAATATCCATGCACTACGTGTTTGACCAAAGACTAGAAGTAAGCCAGAATAATCTTCATTTTCAAAAGCAAAACTAAACAAAAAATCAGGAGAATTTTTCTCTATCATTTTCACTCTAAATTTCAATTTGATTCTATTTCTGTCAACCCCACTATTGAAAAAATGGCACATGGGAACCCCTCTTGATAAAGTCATAGGACCATAAATGTAAAGTCAAAGGGTGGGGGGTGGGGAACTGAGTATAAACCAGATGATAAGTCTAAACAAGTGAAAGCAATTGTTTGGGAAGTAAATTCTAGAAGCAGGATCTACTCTCAACAACCAAAAGGAAAAAAAAAAAAAAAGGAAGGATAGGCACTGGGTACACCAGAAGTGCAGAGAAATACTGTCATGAGATTTGGAAAACTTTAAGATGAGATAATGGGGGCACAGGTTACCACTTGCCCTCAAACGGAAGCTTAGGGGGCTCTTTTTGTTTCTACTTAAAATCAGATCAGCTGACTGCAAGCCACAGGCAACTTGTTTTGAGGATCCAGGTGACTACTGCCTTTCAACTTGCTCTTAGGATGTCCCTTGCCAAAAACCAGTGAAACTGACTACTACCCACAAGCCTCCTGTCTACTTCCCCACACGGTTCACAAGACCTGGTTTACGTAAACCATAAAGATCAGACTCGGTGCAAACATATGTGCTCTAAAGGGGAAAACTGATGGAACAGCAAGTAGTGTTTAGCAACTAGACTACTCCAAAGAGTATATCCAGAATTCTCTGGGAATTAAAAAAACAATAAAACCCCAGCAGAATTAAAATTAAATAGAAATTTGCAATAATATTCTAATTAATAATTTCACTATTTCATACTTAAGAATCCTAAGTCTTAGAGAGGAAAGTTAAAATTTGTCAAATGAAATAATTGTGCCTGATGAGAAACTAGATGTCCACAACCATTAACTGAGGGCCTTTAAAGCAATATTGAAAACCATGTCATCAAGTATCTAAATACTAATCTGGGTTCTCTAATAAAAGTACTGCCAAGGTTCTTCTAAATTACTTGCTATGCCCTCTGATTTACCCTTTCCCCCGTCGGAATACTAAAGCCATGCCTTGAAAAAAGGAAGCAGCAGAACTTCAGTAGTTCTATTTCTGCACTTCAGTGTAAGTGGCACATCCAGTTCAAGCTACATTACCAAGAGCAAACACTTCTGTTTCCATCTACATTGAGAAAGAAATTATATTTCTTCACCTAAGGTATTCACTCAAGCCCCAAAGGAGATGGCAGATGGGAAAGAAAAGTAAAGAAAGCAGATGGATGGAAAACTCAGAAGGAAAGGAAGGCAGGGATCTGCATGCCATTAACCATTACTTTTCCAGTCTTCTTTACGCTCTCATATGTTATGGTGCTTATGGTAAAAGATGCAGAGAAATCTCTCCAGCTCTTACAGTTCTTCATAAGCAAGAAGACTGAGAAAAGGATAATCATTAACAAGTCATTTTAAATGCTCTGGATAAGAAATGGCTAAATCAAATTTTTAATCATTATAAATCATAAGAATATTCAATATATGTTTACTTCTCCCTTTCTACACACTTGGCCAATCATAAGCCCTATGCCTGGAGATGCAAAGAATCATCTTCTGATTTAGCCATTTTCTGCTAACTCATTATTGTAAATTACTGATCATATTCACCAAATTATATTAAAAAGAAGGGTTTAAAATTGGTAGTGTTTCAGGCCACTTGCAAACATTATAATCTTAGGCATGGAAGAAAGTCTCATGAAATTCTACATCTCTGAGATTTGAGAGTCCCAAGTTTCCTTATCTCTTGCATTAAGTAAAGCGTGCACTCACATGTGCAGACGTGCTTAACTCCGTGAGGCCCTGTCTCTTATCATGGTAGTGACACCTGAGACTGCTGTATGGCCACAGCAGTGCAGGGGCTAGTGAAAGGGACCTGGCTGAGACTAAGAGCTAATGGTAAGAGCGGGCAAGACATTGACTGGGCACTAGTAGAGAAAAGGAGGAGTGGTGCTGGCCAGAAGACTCCTCACAGGGGAGTGACAGGGACTGATGACGAAAGCAACAGAAGAACCGCTCACAGCCAAGGCCTCGTGCTCAAAAGTACTTCCAGAGATTAAAAACAAATGTTTTGCACAAGTAGGAGGGGGAAAACAATGCAAAATGGATAGGGCGCGAAGGTCATGTCTGCCTTCTCAGGATGAGTATTTCATGTTTAGACCTATTAATCACAAAGAAAATTCCTAAACCCATAGCTACAATTTTAAAATCTTATATCATCTTTCCAAGTGGTTCCTCTTATTTTTTTAAAAATTTTTATTGGAGTATAGTTGATTTACAATGTTGTGTTAGTTTCTGCTGTACAGCAAAGTGTACCAGTTATACACATACATACATCCACTCTTTTTAAGATTCTTTTCCCATATAAGTCATTACAGAGTGCTGAGAAGAGTTCCCTGTGCAATACAGTAGGTCCTTATTAGTTATCTATTTTATATATCCTCTTATTTTGTTTTTACTATTTTTTTAATTATAAAATTAACAGTTTAAAAAACTATTTCCATTAAGGGAGTCCATTTGTCAGTCTTTATTCAGAATTTCTACCAGAATGAACTAGACTAGGAAGCCTATCCCAATCCTTAAACTCAGGAGGTTATGAAAAACATTTTCATACATCTCAGCAACATCCCAGCAGTAAACTAAAGGCTATATCAAAAGGGAAAGAAAGAGGGGAGAGGGTAAAAGAATTAAGTCCCAAATAATGATAAAAGTAACTGAGCTTTGACCTTGAGGCCAGATTTACTTTGGATCTGTGGGCAGCACCTTGGACATGTATAGAAAAGCACACATCTATGAGCATAGGGAGGCACTGTGTTCAGGGATGTTTCCTGATATGAGTAAGTGACATATTCCTTGAACATAGGGACCATGTCTTACCCATCTTATGCTTTACAAACAGTAGGTGCTCTTCAAATGCTCTGTGAATTAATGAGTATAAACACAATAATGTTTTCACAGTGAGTACACTGGAATTCCAGATTATTTGTTTATCAAAACCATTGGGCATAAGTGGTCGTGCCTGTTGCAAAAGACCTGTAACACCTGGAAAGAGTTAATCACACTGTCCCACACCCTTTAATGTGATATTGGGGACTGGTGAAAGAAGTTACCATCAGTCTCAAAATTCTCAACTCAGTGAGCAAACTGAATATTCACACCAACCCTCTCCTGGTATGTAGCCAGATCCTGATTCTCAGGAAGACTGGGCAATTAAATTCCTGTGAGCTTTTCTCCTTTCCCTGGCTCCAACAGATCCTTTTAAGCATGGCTTCTCTGAGTCACATCCTTAGTTACTAAGGAATGTATCACATCTTCAGCTGACTTTCTCTAGCCCCATGGTTCTCACACTAGCATGCTTCAGAATCACCTTGTGAAAACAGATTGCTGGGCTGGGCACCACCCTCAGAGTTTCTGACTGAAAAAGTCTTGTGTGAGGACTTAAAATTTGCATTCTGACAAGTTCCCAGGTGAGGCTGACGTTGCTAGTTGGCAACCCCCTGCTCCAGTCTAGAGAGCTAGTGAGACTTATTCTTTCCTCAAAAGACAGAAATTACAAGTAAAACTGAGGACATATAAGATGCTAACTAAAATGGGCCTTCTGTTTTTCAAAAGCTTTGCTAATTTTTGTTGTTGTTGAGCAAAGGAAATAAAGAACTTATGGGAAGGTACACTGAAGAGTGACTGGGACAATCTCTGAAATGTCTGATGTTGTTAATCTGGTGGAAAAGACACCTATTGAAAAGAGAGTTACCCATATTTTAGGCCATCAGAAAAAGCACGTCCAGGCTGAAAGCTAAGACTCCCCCTTCTCAGGTTTAATTAGGAGAAGGAAGCCTTCTGAAAGCCTTATTCCAATCCTTTCCATGGGATCACCTCAGAAAGCTGTCACCTGGCAACTCAGTCACCTACATTTTTAACCCAGGAACTTATTAACATTTTTTCCCTACAAGGTAATAAAGTTGAGTTTATATGAAAATCCAGGAATTTCAAACAGGCATCCTACCAATTTTCCAAACAACATAAAGAAAAGCTCTTGAAAAATTAAGTGTGATGTGCAATCTGGAGTACTTAAAAATGTGCTCAGAGGTTGAAAAGCAAACATAGAGGATAAAAATTAAAAGTTAATGACAAAAGGTTTGGAGATTAAACCTTTGTTATAATTTCATGTATAACTAACTGTTTCCTATTGCTTCAACTTTAAGCATATACTTACCTTAAAATGTAAAAATTTCATCTAACTATGTTTATACAACTATTTTAGGGTTCCTTTCCCCATCTTGAGATGAAAAATTGCTGAAAATGCAAAATTATACAAAACCATGGCTGACTGTGTACTGCATGAAAAATCGAACATAATCTGACATTTCTTCAAATAAAACAGGGTGCAGAAATGGTATTGCTTTCAAACTAGCAAATTAAAATAATTATTGGAATAAAAATATGGCCCACTTGTGCTGGTGTAATATCAGCTGCTCAAATATTAAAAGAAACAATAGTCTGACCTCATCGAAAAACTGCTGAGTTTTGCGAAGTATAAATTTTAATTCAGTCAGTTCCAAGAAATTTCTCTTCAGAGCTTCTTGGTTTGTGTTGATTTCCTTCAGTTCATTTTCAATCTTCTCAAAATTGGCCTACAGAAACAACAACAACAACAACAAAACCAATTTACTCAAAGGAAGCTCAAAATGCTTGCTCTGAAAGACAGATGAATTCATCCATCCCACAAAACGCTCACCACCCAGGTGGTTCAAAGGTATCTTTGAACAACACAGCAAGTACAGTCAGCCCTCCGTATCCTTGGGTTCCATACCCGCAGATTCAACTAACCATGGTTTGAAAATATTTGGGGAAAAACATTTTCCAGAAAGTTCCAAAGAGCAGAACTTGAATCTGCTGCCCACCAGCAACTATTTACCTAGCATCTACATTGGATTTACAACTACTTACATAGCATTTACATTGTATTAGGTATTATAAGTAATCCAGAGATGATTTAAAGTATATGGGAGGATGTACATAGGTTATATGCAAATACTACAGCTATTTTATATACGGGACTTGGGCATCAGCAGATTTTGGTATCCGAGGGACAGCCTGGAACCAATCCCCCTCAGATACTGAAGGACAACTGTATTGTGTTTTTACCAGGGCAATTTTCTTCATGAAAACTTTTTGGCTTAAAATCGTCTTTCTTTATCTATAGATTCTGTTGTACACTTGGTTAAATTCCTCAGGGGACTTTGGATAGATGAAACAATTATTGAAAAGTTAATGAAAGGCTATTCATTTAGTCTATGAGATTAATAAATTACTGGATAAATTAACATTGATCCAATAAACATTTATTTAGTCGCATGTGATAGTATTTGAGATACCACAGAGTTTTTTATACCATAAAAAAGCAAATTCATTTAAATCCCATCCACAAGAAACTTGCAATCAATAGACAACACTGTTGCAATCAACAGACAAGGACAGCAAGAACTATTCTACTCTCCAACTACTCAGAAAATTACTTTCTGCATTTAAATAGAAAGAAACTTATCTGGCTTCCTCAGAAGAAATGTTTACCTCTAAGTCAATCATGTCCCGGGGGAAGGGCACCTCCGGGTTTTCGCCAGTGTCCATAATTGGGATATTGGCTTTCCTTATCTCTTTCTCAACAAATCCTAGAACGACAGAATCGAAACATTCATGTCTAGCTGCACATGTCTGGAATTGCCAATACTTGAGGAAAAAAATAAGAAGACCCCAAACTTGGCTAAAAAGAGCTTCGTTCTAAGAAAGACACTTTTACATAAAAAAGGCAGATCATATAAATCCTTTTTTCTCCACATTCCTCTTCCTCCTACCCTACTGTCTCTAAAGCACAGCTACCCCAAACAGGTTTATCATCCCACTACTGTCTTCTTTCCCTCTTCTGATATTAAAACTGGTCCTCATCTGTGTCAGCTCTCTACCCTTAGTGACTTCTACTGTATGACGGTTCTGGTCACAGATACTGTTGGCAGAGAGGAGCTACAGAAGAGTGCGATTCAGTAGAATATTTGAAACTTAGCACCAGTGAGACAACTCCAGCCTATGTGGGTTTCATTAAATTTGAAAACAGGTCAGTTTTGACTTAAAAAATACAAAAAAACAAAGCACAGAATAAGGCCCCAAAACACCAGAAGAGAAAAGTGTGTCAGGTAATAACTACTGACTTAGTTTTTAGCACGGGGACTAAATTCACCTAACAGCTAACTGAAAGCTGGCATAGTATAGTAGCAAGATCTTGGATTTCGAAGACAGACAACCTGGATTCAAACACCGATCCCATCATGACAGCTTACGTTCTTGGGCAAGTCACTTAACCTCTCTAATCTTTGGTTTCTTCATTTACTAAATATGGGTACTAAATCACCCATCCTGAAGGAATATTGTGGGGAATGAACGAAGTAAAGTATATGAACACCCTAACTCTCAATAGGACCTTAATAAATGTTAGATTCTTCCCTCATAAATAGCTCAAATTAAAAGGCGGCTCTGGGGCTTCCCTGGTGGTGCAGTGGTTGGGAGTCTGCCTGCCGATGCAGGGGACACGGGTTCGTGCCCCAATCCGGGAGGATCCCACGAGCTGTGGAGCGGCTGGGCCCATGGGCCATGGCCGCTGGGCCTGAGCGTCCGGAGCCTGTGCTCCGCAGCGGGAGGGGCTGCGACAGTGAGAGGCCTGTGTACCGGAAAAAAAAAAAAAAAATTTAAAAGGCAGCTCTGCTGACATCTAAAATTGATGGTGTTCTGGGTTCTACCTCTCAGAATTCTACAGTGTAGTACTGCCATAAAACCCTTCCCATAAAAAAATAACCAGTATTTTTCAGCTTGCAGCCTTGTCATCTCAAACAAAGTTTCTATTAAGCAACACCTAGCCCAAACACCACACGTCTACTCGTGCACAAGAAATTCATCTTTATACCAGATTGCAAGATTTTTCTTCTTTTCTTTTCCTCCTGTCGTATTTTCTTCCTTTATTAAGAGGACTCTAATTTAAGACAAATGGCTCACTAAAGGAACATCAGACAAGGCCAAAATGCACATACGAAGCTTTCGATCCATTTCTTCACATCTTCTAACTTCATTCACAAATTTCCGCTGGAAAACGTTCACATCTGGATTTAACTGCAAAATAAGAACAGAATACCAAATATTCAAATACTACATTTCCTCTCTTTCATAAGCAACACATCCTGCAAAGTGAAAACCTAATTTAGTGTCAGTGTATGATGCGATACTAATTAAAACTTTCTACTGATCCACACGACCTGCTTTGGGACCAGTCTCACCAATGAAAAGTAAAATCCCCTCCCTCACTGCTGCAACATATTCCTGGAATGGAGGCAGATTAGACAAATCACAATGGCACAAAATGTTCTTCCCAGGTCAAAAGTCTCAGTGAGCACAACCACCTCCCACATTTGGGCAACAGATATAATAGAAGCTCTGCCTGGTTTTCCTTCTCTCCTTCTTCCCAATCAGAAGAGACAGAAGGCAAACTTCTCTTGTTCTTTTGACCCAGGGTCTTCACCTTCTAGGTGACAGGCTGGTTTATTCAATCATACATCACAAGTAATTTTCAAAGCAATGTGGGAGATATTCTGGGAAATGCAAATAAGAATAAAACAAGTTCCTACTCATTAAGAAGCTTGCAAACTAATAGAGAAGATGAATACAACCAATAAGAGAGCATGTGATAAATTCCATAAAAGCAATACAAAGAAAGAATTATAGTTACTCACCATTTGTGGAGCACCAAATATGTCCCAGACACTGTATTAGGCACTGGCATAAATATAAATAATAAGAGATATCCTAGCTTTGAAGAGCTATCAGCCCCACCGAAGAGAGACACAAACCAATCAATACAACTTTTGTGATAAACGTTATTAAAGAGTAAGCAAAATATTGCTGGCAGTTTCCTATACAGTTAAACATATATCTACCTACCTCATGACTGAGCATTCTACTGCTAGGCACCCGCTTAACAGGAATGAAAACATGTCCACAGAAATTTGTAAAAGAATGTTTACAGCAGTTTTATTCATAATCAACCCAAACTGGCAATGATCCAAATGCCATCAACAGGAGACTGAGTAAAGACACTGTGATATGTTCGTACCACAGAATGCTATTCAGTAATAAAAAAGAATCAACTACAGATATATATATAAATAAGATTAAATCTCAAAAATACGAGGTTGAGTGAAAGAAGTCAGACATAAGAGTCTGTAATGTATCATTCACTTACATGAAGTTCAAGAAAAGGCAAAACTAATCTATGATGGTAGAAATCAAAACAGTGGTTACCTATGATGGGTAGGGGCTGACCAGAAGTGTGCACAAGATAGCTTTCTGGGCTGCTGGAAATATTCTATATCTTGACTCGGGTGGTGGTTATAAGGGTATATAAATTTACCAAAATCATCAACCTGTACTCTTAAGATCTATGCATTTCACTGAATATAAAGTTTACCTCCATAAAAAAGAAGAGGGGGGCTTCCCTGGTGGCGCAGTGGTTAAAAACCTGCCTGCCAATGCAGGAGACGTGGGTTTGAGCCCCGGTCCGGGAAGATCCCACATGCCGTGGAGCAACTAAGCCCATGAGCCACAACTACTGAGCCTGCGCTCTTGAGCCTGTGCTCTGCAGCAAGAGAAGCCACCACAATGAGAAGCCCACGCACAGCAACGAAGAGTAGCCCCCACTCACCGCAACTAGAGAAAGCCGAGCACAGCAACGAAGAATTAGAATTAGAGTTACCATATGACTCAGCAATCCCACTACTGGGCATATACCCAGAGAAAACCATAATTCAAAAAGACACATGCACCCCAATGTTCATTGCAGCACTATTTACAATAGCCAGGTCATGGAGCAAGCTAAATGCCCACTGACAGACAAACAGATAAAGAAGATGTGGTACATATATACAATGGAATATTACCCAGGCATAAAAAGGAATGAAATTGGGTCATTTGTAGGGACGTGGATGAATCTAGAGACTGTCATACAGAGTGAAGTAAGTCAGAAAAAGAAAAACAAATATCACATATTAACACATATATGTGGAACCTAGAAAAATGGTACAGATGAACCAGTCTGCAGGGCAGAAATTGAGGCACAGAAGTAGAGAACAAACATATGGACACGAAGGGGGAAAAGCAGCGGCGGGTGGTGGTGGTGGTGGTGGTGGTATGAATTGGGAGATTGGGATTGACATGTATACACTGATGTGTATAAAATGGATGACTAATAAGAACCTGCTGTATAAAAAAATAAATAGGGCTTCCCTGGTGGTGCAGTGGTGGAGAGTCCGCCTGCCAATGCAGGGGACACGGGTTCAAGCCCTGGTCCAGGAGGATCCCATGTGCCGTGGAGTGGCTGAGCCCATGCTCCACAACTACTGAGCCTGCGCTCTAGAGCCCGTGAGCCACAACTGCTGAGCCCATGTGCTACAACTACTCAGCCCACAAGCCTAGAGCCCGTGCTCCACAACAGGAGAGGCCACCACAGTGGGAGGCCCGTGCACCGCGGCGAGGAGTGGTCCCCGCTCGCCGCAGCTGGGGAGAGCCCACGCGCAGCAACGAGGACCCAACACAGCCAAAAATAAATAAATTAAATAAATAAATTTATAAAAAATAAATTAAATAAAATTCAAAAAAAAAGACACAATGCAGCCATAAATAAATAAATAAATAAATTAATGTTTTAAAAAAGAATGAACTATAAGAGAGAGAGAGAGAGACTGGTAACAGAGAACCTAGTAAGGAAATTATTGGTATTATGTATTACATTAATATTAGACAGATGGAATCTACGGTAAAAACCATTATTAGAGATTAAGAGAATCACTACATAATGATAATAAGAACAATTCCCAGGAAAAGGAAACAATTCCAAACTTGTGTGTCCCTAATAAAGTGCTTATTTGTTTTTGTTTTGCTTTGTTTTTTTTCACTGAGCAGGCACTACTCAGCCTCTCATTCAGAAATTTCCACTTCAATAAACAAGACATTCTGAAGTGAAAGTAGCCACAAGACTCATGGTAACTTTACTGGTTTCATAATCAAGAGTCAAGGTAGGGCTTCCCTAGTGGCGCAGTGGTTGAGAGTCCACCTGCCGATGCAGGGGACACGGGTTCGTGCCCCGGTCCGGGAAGATCCCACATGCTGCAGAGTGGCCGGGCCTGTGAGCCATGGCTGCTGAGCCTGCGCATCCAGAGCCTGTGCTCTGCAATGGGAGAGGCCACAGCAATGAGAGGCCCGCATACAGCAAATAAAAAAAAAAAAATTAAAAAAATTAAAAAAAAAAAAGAGTCAAGGTACAACTGTAGCCACACCATGGCCTGCTTTGGGTAAGCAGTCCTGAAATATGTGGGCAAGGCATTCTCAAAATATTTCAAACAAACATTAACAGAACTACAAGAAAAAACTGACAAATCTGTCTACCTAGTGAGAAATTTTAATATAATTGTAAAACTATTGATACATCAAGGCCACCAAATAATATAAAAGGACAGAGAAAATTTGAACAACGTAATCAGCTTAATCTAACACACACACACATTTTCTAACACTGCATCCAATAGTTCTCTCTTCAAGAGTTCATTTATAAAAACTGACCACAAAATAGGTCACACAGCAAGTCTCAGTACAGAATTGGTACCATAAAATGTTCTCTATCATGCAATTAAGTTAGAAATCCATATCAAACATACAACTTAACATATTTGGAAATTCTAAAATAGCTCTAAGTAATTCACAGCACAAAGAAGAAGTCATAATGAAAATCTCTCTCTCTTTTTTCTTTCCTGTGGCCATGCCACGTGGCTTGCAGGACCTTAGTTCCCCAGCCGGGGATCAAACCCAGGCCCTCAGCAGTGAGAGCACACAGTCCTAATCACTGGACTGCCAGGGAATTCCCTGAAATATCTTAAAATATTTAGAATGGAATGATAAAGAAAATGCTAAAAATCAAACTTTGTAGGATGCAGTTAAAGTGGTATTTAAAGGAAACTTTATAGACTCAGATGCAAATAGAAAAGACTAAAAAATTAATGTGTCAAGTGTTCAAGAAGTTAAAAAAAAAGATAACAGGAAGTAGAAAACAACAAAGAGCAGAAATTGGGACTTCCCTGGTGGTCCAGTGGTTAAGACTCCGCCTTCCAATGCAGGGGGTGCAGATTTGATCCCTGGTTGGGGAGCTAAGATCCCACATTCCTTGGGCCAAAAAACCAAAAAACATAAAACAGTAGCAATATTGTAACAAATTCAATAAAAAGACTTAAAAAAAATTTTTAAAAAGAGCAGAAATGAATAAAAGTTCCTTAACAAAACAAAGTCAAAAGCTGACTTTTTTCTTTTATTATTCTTTATCATTTTATTTGTTATCATTTTTTCTTAAAAGCTGGTAATTTAAAAAGACAAAATGGACCAAATTTTTATAAGACTGAGAGAAGGCATAAATAAACATAAGAATAGAAAAAGTTCACTACAGGGCTTCCCTGGTGGCGCAGTGGTTGAAAAAAAAGGTCACTACAGATAGAAATTTCAATAGTTAAAATATACCCATCTAGAAACACCAGGCCTATAAGGTTTAAAGATAGGTTCTTTCAAAGACTAGATAAACTCAAAGCTTAGAAAAACTATTCCAATGAGGAGACAAATGAAAGGAACATTCCTCAACCAATAAGTGAGATTGGCCAGTAGAATCTTTATACCAAAATAAGATAGGAATAGTTTGAGAAAGGACAATTACAGACCAATATCATTTATAAATATAAATGAAAAAATCCTAATAAAATTATTAGGAAATTGAACCCTAAAATTCTTTTGAATACACCTCATGACCAAGTTTCCCAGGCTTACAAGGATAATTTTACGTTTAAAAAAAGCTATACAAATGGTCTGTAAGCATATGAAAAAGGCTCCACATCATTAGCCGTGAGGGATATGCAAATCAAAACCACTGTGAGGGCTTCCCTGGTGGCGCAGTGGTTGAGAGTCTGCCTGCCGATGCAGGGGACACAGGTTCGTGCCCTGGTCCGGGAAGATCCCACATGCCACGGAGCAGCTAGGCTAGGCCCGTGAGCCATGGCCGCCGAGCCTGCGTGTCCGGAGCCTGT